CCTGTCTCCCTCATTTCCCAGTATATGCCATGTTCTCCGGAGTAGTCACCCTCCCTTTCTGGAGCTACTCCAGGGAATAGGAGGATAAAGATTCTCTCCCCTCCCCCCCAAAAAACAAAACCAAACCAAAAACAAAATCTGTAATGGCTTCAGTGATTCAAGGCAGTAGGACCTAGGAAATGCAAGGCATGTTTAGAGATTGACTAATAGAGATTTGAATATTTATTTTCTATTCTCTTTCTCTCCCTCTCTCCTACCTTCCTTCCCCCAAATCTGTTTCAGCAACTGTACCAGATCCTGACCGACTTTGATATTCGATTTTATATGTATGAGCTGCTCAAGGTAAGTGAAGATCCTGGACAGTGGGTTAAGGCCACAAACCTGGGGCAGGGAAAGATAGAATTCCTTAAGCAGTTCTCTGGAGAGCTGGTACCTATGTTGATTTCTTCTTGGATTATCTGTGTAGTTTCCTTCCATATAAATAAATGGGAGCAGTGTGTTGGTGAGAGAAGATCAAAATATCTGGCCTTGGAGAGAGACAAATGCAAGGTGTTCAGAACCGAGGTGGGGCTTGCTTAGTTGCCTTTTATACTGCAGGTAGAGGGAGTAGTTTCCCCGTAACAAGTTAACTCTTGGTAGTGGTTACACAGGCAAATGGCATGTAAGGCTTTGTGCACACAGCACTGGAAATTGCTTGGGGTAAAGGGAATAAGTGGGGGCAGGGCATTGGTGGTGGTTAACATTCTCCAAAGGCAGAAGACATGGGTCACCAATTCTGTGTTTTTATGCTCTAGAGCTCATGTTGCCTGAGATAAGTATTCTGATGAGCTTTCTGCAAGACCTGTTTTTTTTAGGACAGCGGGAGTTGGGTGGGGGAGTGAAGGGGGAAAACTTCTGATCTTTTCCCCCCCCTTGAATAGACTCACAGGTCAGACGCATGATGGTTAGTTAAGAGCTCTGAAATTTTCTGTTGTGGGGTTGGGATGAGGTGTTAGTTGTAAATGGTTTTGTTGATTTTGTTAATTTATTTCCGAGGGTAATTCCCTGGAGACCATTGCTAGAAGCCTATGAAGTGAATAAGTGGCTGAGTGCTCCTTCCTTCTCTCCCCCTTGGAAGGAAGGATAGATGACATACTCCCAGAGGATGAGCAGAGTGTGTTCTTACTGTTTGTCTTACTAGAGTGGCCCACACCAAGTATTTTTCTGGTGACACTTCCAGTGTGTGACTGGGAAGCTTTTGAGATGTGTTGTCTTGCCTGTGTGAAATTTAAGAGTTTAATTTGGAGAATGTAAAGGGAGCGCTTCAGTTGTTTAAGCTGCAGTCTTGGTTGTATTGCATTGAATCTGTGCCAGAGCAGCAGCTGTTATCTGTCTTGATTCCCAGCAGAACCACTAGGTTTTGAAGATTGCTGTTTCCAGACCTTGTGGGCCAGCTATGAGTCTGAAGTGCCTAGGCAAATCCATCCAAGCCCTGGAGTGCTCACGCCAGGACTTGATGGGTAAAGGTGACCTCTTGGAATAGAACTTCTAGCCAGCTCAGGCTGCGCTTACCTGTCCTCATTCCCTTCCCTGTGCTTTAGGCAATGATTTTGCCTGTCTCTAAGGGAAACAGCTTTTTGATTGACCTGGGGAATGCTTTGAAATCCCAGGAAGAAATAGAGGAACAAAGCAGCCCAGACAAGCTACATAAGTAACATAGCCCCACAAGCAGCCTGTTAAAGCACAGGCAGGGAATACACTGTCCTCCTCTGGTAACAACCTTGGAGCACTTGACAAACATGGTTAATGGATTGTGCTCTCCCACCCCTCCTGTGGGGGAGCAGCATTCTCCCCATTGTACATGAGGGAACAGCTGCACAGCAAGAAGTGAATAGCTCAAGGTCACCGAGCTGCAGATCCAGGAACTCTTGCTCTTGCACTTTTAAGCCATGTTGTAATTTCTGTCCTGGTTCTGGAACCACTCTGCGTGTTGCAGGGAGGAATTTTGTTTAAACAAAAAGGTGAAAGTGATTAAGGCTAAGCAAGATTATAGAAAGTTTGAGCAGGGTGGTAGACATGACTGCATGGAAGGAGGTGAAGAGGACTCTTCTCTCTTTGATGACCCTAGAACTGCTGGGCAGCGTCAGTGAACACTGTGACACCTCGCTGGCCTTTGAATTCTAAAGTCTGTTCTGAGAGACCAGGAATTTAGTATGACAAAGCCACCAATAGAGGAACTGCAGCTGCACAGTCCTTTATTGTTCTGGCTGGCAACGTGCCACTTCCGCTTCGGCTAGGATGGCGAGAGAAATGAGAGCACCAATTGTTCATAGTCCTTGGGTTGCAGGGCTTCCCAGATCAAAAGGCTTCACCTCCAAGTCTTTTTTACTAGCTGGAGAACTGTCTGTGACATCATTCATTCTGTCTGTTCACTGGTTTATCTAACATTATATGCGTATCTGCCAGGCCCTGGATTACTGTCACAGCATGGGGATCATGCATAGGGACGTCAAACCCCACAACGTCATGATAGACCACCAACAAAAAAAGGTACAGTCAAAGGCAGGGAGGTTGGAGGGCAGCTTGATGTTTTGCCAGTGCTTAGCCATTAAGCTGGGCTCCATTATCAGTGCATGCCAGGAATTGCCTGTCTGAAGTGGCACGCTTCACTCTCAGAGAGAGAGCATCCTTGCTCTGAGACGTACAGTGACAAAATGCCCTGACTCAGCCAGGCTGTAAGAGGGATATTTCGGGTGACTTCAGTATTCCTCTGCTGATTTGGGAGATGGCTGCCAGTGCCTGGAAATCTCCTGGGGAGAGGATCTGGGGGTGGGGGACAAAGGCCTGTAAGTAGGAGTTGGGGGGAGGAAGGTAGAAGTTTCTCTGTCGGATACTGTTGTGTTCCGGTGTGACCTTGTATGCTGTCTGAAATGCCCGTGGATTGTATGTTCTGGAAACAAAAACTTTTGTATCATTACAGCTCCATAAACGTAATGTTGGACCCAGTAAAATTAGTCCCAGTGGAGTTTTGTTTTCTTATTGAGGCCCTAGCTCATCATCCATGGTCTTGCATTATGGCACAGAGCATTTTTGGAGCCCTTCAGTAACTCTACTCCATTGGCTCACAAATGGGCTTGTCTCCAAATTTTGAAGCTCTTGTAACTCTTTAGATGCATGTGGCTATATTGGATGAAACCTCCTTTCCTCTGCATCTGCCAGGCTGGCTTGGTCACCTTTCTGGAAGTCTCATCTGCACAGGCTTGGCCAATTGCTGAGGCCTCCTGTGGATCCTCTTTAGCTTTTGGCCAGCCCTAGTGTAGATACTTGTTCATTGTCTCACAAACTAGGTGCCCAGCATCATAGTGTCATCCTAACTTCAGTGGCACTTGCAGCAGTGAAGTAGCAGCTTTTCCCCTTTCTGATTTGGGGCATGTGCTGTATAAACCACAAAGCCCTGGAATCTCTGTGCAAGTGTTTCTTTTCATTGGGTCAGCTTGTGTGGAGAGCACTCTGCAGCTCTTACACTTTTTTTCTGCTAAGCTGTAGGCCTCAGTTCCTTCCCCATGAATCAGCAGCTGTGGAGGAGATGGGAATACCCCTGCAGTTATGCTGTGAGCAGGTGCATGCGAGTGTTGCAGTCTGCCCTTCTTACTTGACAGCTCATCCTGTCCTCTCTGCATTATTTCCTACTCCAGCCAGCAACTACTTCACAACTCTCCTTGCACATTAGTGTTGATAGTCCTTTTGGGGCCAGCTATATTAAACCAAATAGAGTCATGGTTGGTTTCTGCCTGTTCTCCAGCATACAATTAACTGTCATTTGTTGACTGGTGACATTAGTAAAGAATGAGTCACCAAGCAATAGATTATTTGATTAGGTTTGCAAGGCAGATAAATCTGTGAGCCTGGGTGATTCTATAAACTACTGCAGATAAGCGAGTGAAGCAACCCTGGACAAGAGAATCTATTGCGATGTTGCATCGTGGCATAGAGGGTTCCATGCTTTCACCACAGGATCATAAAAAGCTTTGCACGCCTAACTTGTTTGTATTGAGGCAGCTAAACTATTTGTTCCTGACTATGTGTGTCTCCTTCATGTTCAGTTGAGGCTCATAGACTGGGGTTTGGCAGAGTTTTACCATCCAGCTCAGGAATACAATGTCCGTGTGGCCTCTAGGTACTTTAAAGGACCAGAGCTCCTTGTGGACTATCAAGTAAGTACCTGCCTTCTAATTGCTGCTTAATTATATTGGGTGTGATTGTACATTGGTTACTTACCTTTGGAGAGTCCATGTGCCTTCTAGAGGCTCCCTACTTTGGAAAGAGTTTTGCTGTCAAGTTAAAAAAGCTCAGGTCATCTCCTGTGACTAAATGATAGGACTGGGGCCTGAACTAAAGACACCCTTTTCCCCATCTCTCTGTGTCCTTTCCTCTCTTCAGATGTATGATTATAGCTTAGACATGTGGAGTTTAGGCTGTATGCTGGCCAGCATGATCTTCCGAAAAGAGCCCTTCTTCCATGGTCAAGACAACTATGACCAGGTAAGGAGCTGCTACCTGATTTTCCTACAGAAGGTCTCTTGTTTGCTTCTCCTGTTTGGGCTGTTGGTGGTGGTCAAGGCACTGGACCGTTTGATTGGTAGAGTGTTTCCATGCGTTAGTTGAACTAAGATATCAGGACTCAGCAGAAAGCATGCCTTACACACAACCCCAATGGATAAATTGGCACCAGTTGGAGAAATTACTTTTAGGTGGGCATTTCCTTGGACCTCAGGACTTCCTCACATTGAGCTCTTAGTTTTAAGTGACTTTGCTCATAGGGGCCCTCAGACCAGTGTCCTAGTCTCCCTTCTGTATACCAAACTTGAAAGGACCTTTTGGCGCAGAAGACCTTTCTCCATTCCTCTAAGTTGTTGATGTGCCCTTCTCATGCTGTTTTCTGTCATTGTCTTTTATTGCAGCTGGTTCGCATTGCTAAGGTTTTGGGTACAGATGAGCTGTATGGATACCTGAAGAAATATCACATAGAACTGGACCCACACTTCAATGATATCTTGGGGCAGTAAGTGGATGGGAGAATTTTTTTGCTTTTTATAAGGGAAAAGGAACAATTACCTAAGTATCTATTCCAATAGCAACTCAAGGACATAAAAGAGAACTGTCATTCAAATCAGAGGAGACTCTTTGTTTAAATTCATTTCACTCTGAAAATCTAGACTTGGCTTTGTCTACACTTACCTGTTCTGCCAGTAGAATTTCTGGTGGCATATGGTGGTTGCTGCCACCAGAGTGCATACACAGCTATGCATTTCTAGTAGCTATGCTGTCAGAGTGCGAGGTGCCCCTGAGGAAGGCATTGGTTGCTGATGGGGCAGCTAGAGCTGCCAGGTGACACGGGAGTGTCCATGAATACCTGCCAATTGCCAGGTGGTGGCAAAAGCCTTAGTCACTTTAGCAGAACGGGCTAACCCTGCCAGCTGCAAGTAGGGTACTGCTGCAGGAGAACTTTGTGGGTGCTGTCTGCTGGCAGAGCTTGAGTTCTAGTAAAACTTTCTAATGTAAACCAAGCTGATGATGTTTTACTGGTCTGTCAGTAAAATTGCCCACATCCTGTTGGACTGCAAATAAAATTTTGGAAAGCTGGCTCACAAATCATATACTGGTTGAAAAGAAAAACTTGCCTTTTTCTCACCATATGAAATCCATGTCTGCCTGCAGTGGGCTAGACCCCTTGAGAGCAAAGAGCTTCTATAAGCCTCTTCACAGATGGTTACATCTAGGTTCGCCATTCCAGTACTCTTTTGTGCTTCTTTATCTGTCACTGGAATTAGAGCACTTGTGGCTGAACATTCCCCAAGTAAGTTGTGCCATAAAAAAAACTTCAAATGCTTTTGTATTTCACTAGCCAAATGCTGAATTCTGGAAATAAAAGGAGTTGGTAGATAAACTTTGTTCCAGTGGGAGGAGCAATAGCCCCATGTGTGGGGTGTGACAAGTGATTCCCATGATAGAACTGTGGCTGCTTTGCAATTCAGAGCTTAATTTGTTCAGAATTCTGTGCAATAATAGGTTCCTCTGCTCTAGGCATTCACGGAAACGCTGGGAAAACTTCATCCATAGTGAGAACAGACACCTGGTCAGCCCCGAAGTCCTGGACCTTCTGGACAAACTTCTGCGATATGACCATCAACAGAGGCTGACTGCCAAAGAAGCTATGGAGCACCCCTACTTCTGTGAGTTGTGGGGAGCTGGAATCAAAGTGTGGGCTTGACGAGCAGAACCAGGGGTTTGCTGTGGGACTGTACATCTTTTTCCAGACAGGAATTGAATGGCTCTTAATTCTGTGCTGAAGGCTGGACATCTAGCCATGTAGCAACAAAGAATATAATGGAAGCTTGTGAGCCTGGGAGGAGGTTTCCTTGGCAGTGAAGCTTTGATACTGGGCAGTGTAGCTTTGCATTCCTGGCTGATCCTTGTCTCTTGCAGACCCGGTGGTGAAGGAGCAGTCTCAGCCCAGCTCAGAAAATGCTGTGCTTTCTAGTGGCCTGACAGCAGCACGATGAAGACTGGAAAACGACGGGTAATTCAAGATATTTACAAATAAAAACAAAACCTTCAGTCACACAGTGAAGGGAATGAACCAAGACACCCCCTCCTCCCCCCCAGTTCCTTTATGCTCAGAAATATAACCTTTGGGGGGTTTAAAACCTCAGTCCCCTCTAGTGGCTGTGGATAATATTACTTTAAACCTGTGGTACCAAAGCCCCTGGAAAAAATGGTTGTGCAAGACCTAAATAAATAGTTATATCCTTAGGGCTCAAGTTGACTGATTTGTGGCTCACATTTCTATGGATCTAATTCTTTCTTCCCAGTCTGGCCTTTTCCTATCATCCTGGTGGAGCAAAGTTGCTATTCCGTCATTAGCCCCTAGCATGCACCCATGCAAATAGGCCTTTTTAATTGTAGACCTAAGGACAAATTCAGACAGTGTATAAGTATGTGCAGTGCTATTGAAGTCTGAGTCTGCCTACTCCAGGTCTGAATTTGGCCCTTTAAATGCGAATGAACAACCAGTGTCTCAGGATTGATTTGAATCATTAAAATGTAACATCTTTCTGAGTTGCTCAGAGAGAGGGGAGCTCCCCTGTGGGAGCACTCAAGAAAGGCTCCATCTGGGAAGAAACAATACAGAACTGTTATGGAAAAATTTTAACGTAGAGGATAGAAGGATTTTTTTGTGGCAGAAAAATGCTTTGCTACAGACTTGAGAAAATTGATGTTATAAGACTTGCTATAACAGACGTGCAACCATATAATTTATTACATGGCTTGCATAATAGTTCATTTTGGATATAGTTCAGGAGCGTGAATCTAGAGTGGTTCAATTCAGCAACATAGAATGAAAAGCAGAGGGGAGAAGGTTCTTTGGGAGTAGTAGGTGTGGGGGGGGGGAAGATACGGGAAGCAATGGTATGGTTGGAATGGGGCTGTTGGGGAGGCTGTGTTGCTACTGATGCAGGACTTGGGTCCATGTAGTGTTCTAACAAAATCAGCCAAATATAAACTCTGGCCAATGATTCTGTTGTAGGGGTTTTCTCATGGCTTTTCTCTGCCTCCCTGATGCCTGTGTAGCCCCACAATTCACAGTTGCCTCCTCTAAGTGTTCTGTGTGTAATTCCTTGAATGGGGCTGGTGATATCATAAACTTAGAAACTGGAGATGGTGTTTACCCACCAGCACCTAAACAGAGAATTTCCTTCTATGTCAAATATTTAATTTTTATAAGGTTAGAATGTTTCTATTTGAAACATCTGTTTACATTCCATATTCCAATAAAGTTATATTGGCATTGAGAGCAGATTACATCCATTTGTATAATTCACTGAAATCAATAAATAACTATACCTATGAACTTCTTTTGTTGTCTTCTAGTCTATGGTGATATTCATACACTTTGAGCAGCTGAAAGCATTGCATCTTATAGATACGTTTTGAGTTCTAATGTATCTTCATTCCCCTTTTATCAGAACTGGGCTGTTTATTTTAACTTTCTCACTAGCTCCTTTTGCGATGAAACAATCAATGTCTGCTATCAACCCAAAGACGAAATTCTTTGAAAGTCTCAGCAGAATCACTTCAGCTGCTACCAGGTTAAAAGGAAGAACTCAAATTTTCCCAAATACCTGGGGAGTTGCACTTTGTGCCTGCCTGATTTTAATAGCTGAAGCTGGAAATTTCAAACTGGGATTGTTTTATAGAGCTCACTGAGGAAGAAAAAGCAATTCAAGCTGAAAAAAACAATGATTTTACTCTCTTAAGGTCATGAATCTTTCACGTGCAAGGTCACACAATTTTATCTTTTTCAGCTTGGGCAAATAAAATGTGCTTTATTAAGAGCATGCTGAAAGAGCATCATCTTTTTCATTTGTTCTCCTGGTTTAAAAAACAAATGCTAGTGCAGTGCCCAGCTTTAGATTTCAAGCCATTCAAAGCTGAACAAGTTCAAAAGGGAAGGTTTTTAAATGTAGCCTGTGTGTGATTCTCAGCTGTTCTCATTGGAATGACTTTTTCCCTTTTTCCCCCCCATCTCACATGTATTGGAGATCCATTCCAATTTGGGCAATATGGAATGGGCCAAGTAGTCGTGATTGCCTGAACTGTCCGCAGCCTCCATTTTTTGAGAACTCCTGACCTGTGTCACGGAGAGTTACCAGGCAAGGAAATGAGTAGAAGGTAGCATTATGATGGTAAACTGAACCTGTGACAATTCCTGGTTTGGTTGGTTCCTCAGCCTTAATGTTGCATTAATGTTAGTTTTGCATTGAATATTAAATTCCAAAGCTAAAGTGAATTTGGAAGTGTGTGCACACACAAAAAGCTTAAGTTTCTCATAGCAGTGTGGGCAGGTTTATGTTGCTGAGAGAACCTGCATCCCCTAGCCAACCTAATCAGGTACAAAGTTGGAAATAGAAGTGGTGCCATATTTCCCCAGGTCTAACCTCAGTTTGAGACAAAGTGTGGGAAACATCAGTCCAACAGGAAATGAGAAAATCAAGCATTGAAATTGGGGCTGTAAACACCGTTTCTGCCTTAACTAGCATTTCTCACTGCTGTAATGTAGTGAGTAGTGCATACATGTGCACACGCCTACTGTTTGATGAGCTGCTGCTTTGTCTTGAGTGAGTCGGCATTTCAGGCAGCCAGGGCAGGAAATGTTGCTTCACCCTGTGTAGTAGTTGAGTATTTTTCACCTTCATAAGGACAGCAGGGGGAAAGTAGATATGAAGAATCTTGTATCCAGGAAGGAAAGGGGGGGGAGAGATGACTGGACACACAATCCCATTTGTTTTGCTCATGATTGTACTGTTCTGATACAATAACATAATGGTGATCTGGGAGAGAGCTCTCCACCAAGAAGTTCAGACTCCCAGCTGGGTAGGCTGGCCCAGTTGTGCAATAGCAACTCTGTGCAGAGAGCAAGAACTCAGATTCTGAGCTTAGAGCCTTGCTGGTGAGCCCAGTAGGGCCTCTGCCCACAGACAGGACCTGCATACTCAACCTGTTGGAGGGGAGAAAAGGGAGTGTTTTGCAACTTCCTCAGCTAGTCATTGCCTGTAATGAGAGCGCTCAGGCTGTAGAAGAGAGAATCTTACCAGAATAGAGAGAAGTTTAACACGATGCTGACGGCTGAAGGAATGGTAATGAAATAAGGCATTGAGGTCCTATGTGCTCATAATAAGTTGTTACCTGCTGGACTGCTGCTAACCATCAGTATAGTGGGCGAGGTAAAGAAGCAAATCTTGATTTACTTGGTCTTTGAAATAGTAATTCACTACTTCTGTAGTGCTGGTACAGTTCCAAACACTCTGTAGATACTGCATAAGCCTTAGGAAGCCACTGGAAATAGGTGAGTATTCTACCTACTTTTGATAAGGCACAGAGGTGATGCAACTTGCCCAAGGTGGTAGGAGTGGAGACGGAGCAGAACACCCTCCTGTCTCCTGGGCCCAGAGGGGAAGCTCTGGATACACGTTGGTGTCCATTCCCACTAGCATCTGATGCTCACTTCCCTCCTCCCATCTCTCCTTAGGTCCGATGCTGTTCCTCCCAATTTTCCATAAGCAGAACAAGAACCAAATCAAACGTCTTATCAGCGTGTGTACAGAGATGGCGGCCAGACGGCGTGGCGGTGGCGGGGTACGAGAGCAGGGACTGCGCCGGCTTGATGGCACCCAACAGTTTATAAACACAAACCTTACTTCTGAATGTAAAAGGTTCCTTCGCCTTTGACTTCCTGTTGACCTCTTCCTGACCCAGAAAGCATGGAAAATGTGAAGGGTATGCAAAATGGTTGTTGGTTAATGTTGCTTCCCCCTCACCCCAGCTTTTGTTCCCTGAACTCCAGCGTTAACATATTAACTAGCTGGCTCCAGACTTGGCAGGGCAGAGAGGGAATGGGGATGGGGGTGGACTATATGGCATGATGGACAGTTCTATATTATAATTAAAAGAATTATATATTATTGAATAAAAGTTTTAAAAGAAATGTATGGAGAGTATTCAGTATGGAAGGAGCCATGGGCCATGACCTGCTGCATTGGAAGAGGCTGGGATTACTCTGAGCGCTTCCTGGTGCTCTTTTCCTTGTTTTATATTATGTAGAGACGTTGGCAGGGGCAGAAGAGAGGGAGATGAATCTTGTACAAAGGCTTTTTGAAGTGTTATGGAGAACGGGAGGCTACCTACTCTGCCTGTCGGGTGGTGCTTAGACACCTGGCATAAGGGTGGACAGGAGCTGAATATACAAGAGAGCTCCATGTTGATTCCAGATGTCCTTCCTTCAAATGTCAAGCTCCTTTTGAGGCCTCAATAAACACTAGATGATCACCCATGTGGTGCCTGCACCTCTGTAGGTGCTGTGACTAGTGGCTGGGGGCCTTTGCCAGTGTCCTGTTTCTTCTTCCTTCCCTTCCCTGCCTGCCTCTCTAGAGTGAGGAGTGGGCTTGTGAAAGGCCCCACCTCTTTCACTTCCTCACCCCCAGAGGAGAAAGCAGTACTGTTGGGGAAAAGGCACTCCCCCCAAAGGTGCCTGAATCGGGGGGGGGGGGTTGCATTTGATTCAAGCTCTACTTGCCTGAACGTCTCTGCTGGATTAAAAAACAAAAGAAATGCCCATCTCGCCCTGCTTCATCCTGTTAGGCCCAATACCACCTAACAAACAGAAAATGACTGACTATTCCTATAGTGCAGCAAGGGAGGGGCTAGTTCTTGGTTACGGTAAAAAAAACAAAACAAAACAAAAAAGCTGTCCCTGCTCCCTTGAACTGAAAAGGGCATGTTAGAGCAGAAGAAACCTACTCCGCTTCCCTCTCCCCCTGCACTGGAAAGTCACGCTCCATGTAGGGTCACAGTCTCCCCAGGTGCCTTCAGCTACAGACAGAGCCAGCAGTACCCACCATGCTTTAATGTGTTCACTCTTTCATGCTCTCTCCCTGGCCTGTCACTGGATCGCTATGCAGTAGATCAGAATTGGCTGGGGGAGGGATAGAGTACATCAGTCTCCTTTGTTCCCTGATGTCCCCCAATCCTCGTATAGAGTAAATCAGCCTCCTTTGTTCCCTGATGTCCCCCAATCCTCGCTTGTGTTGAGCCACCTCTTCCAACAAGCAGTGGGCCTGGACGCATTTTTGCCTTGGTGAAGGTAGTGATTTCTGTTGGGTGGATCAATAGACCCCTGTCATGGCAGCTGATGTGTCACCCACTCAATCATCCAGTGTTTATCTGAGTGGCCTTTCTACACTGTCTGAGCTTCAGGATTTTGGCTGGGCAGGCAACATTTCCAATCCAGCAAACTAGAGCTTGAAGTTAACAAACCCAGACACTTGAAGCTACTTTTTAATATCCCAGCAGGGCTCTACAATTCTACTTTGTAACCTCCTTTTCCCCTGCCTCTTCCCCCTCCTTCAAGCCCTCTTGCATAGTTTTTATACAGTGCCCTGGTACTGAAACTGTCTGTTGTAAGGCTACCTCTGATATAAGGCTCTCTGCTGTATTTTTGTCTCCCAGCTATTTGGAAGCTCATTATAAATACCTCTTTATAACAAGCACCTCCCTGTAACGTATGTTTCGTATCTTCTAAGCCTTATAGAAGTGGTGCTATGTATGTGTGTGTGTATATAAAATATGTATTTATTATCTGTGTTTCCATGTGTGGGTCTGTATCTGGGAAAATGCTGTGCGGAGGGTGCAGCTTAAGGGTTTGCTTGGGGAGGAGGGAAGGGTGGGAAACGGCAGGTGAAATGTTGAAATGGACTCTGTTCCCTTACATTATTGTGTCTTCTGATCCACCTCTTTCTAACTTCCTAATGGTGACCATGTTTCCAAGAATACATGAGCCTGTTTGGTTTTTCAAGGCTTTGGAAGTGGTGATGAGGGGACCACAATAGCATCTTCAGCAAGTGTTCTCCTGAATCACTTGATCTAGGTATTAAGCCTGTGCTTATCACCTTGGCCCCTGGTTCCTGGAAGAACAGATGGAGTTCTTTTAGTTGCAAGGAAAAGTGGTGCTATTTTATACTTATTTGTATCTGTTCATACCAGCACAGTTAGATTAGGCAGTAAAGCATTAAATCCTGGCTGAAATTCATCACACGTGCAAGTTTTCCAGGCAAGAGAATGAATTGCCTCTTTGTGCCATGATTTTTATGAAGAGTTCCTTGAAGAGTGAGGTCAGAGGATACCTGGATGTCCTTATCCATTGACGGAATTTGAAGGAAGTGGTTGAACTGAGCAAGGTGTGTCATTCCTCTTGGTCTGGAAAAGGAGGGAAACAACATTTGTGGAACAGTGTCCACTACCATGGTTGGACCCATGTGAAATATGTTGGTGCCCTCCACAGTGTTAACAAATGCTTTAGACTTGCATTGACACCTGTTAGAATATAGATTAGCTCCAGTTGTTGCAGGTACCAAATAAACAGCATGTTACAGGTACCCCACCATCATTGTTTCTGTAGCACAACTGGGCCAGGCTGTGAGCTGTGGTAATGTGATAATGCTGAATCTAGATGAGGCATCTCCTGTAGCTTACACACACGAGTACTAAACAACATAGAAAGGAGTCATCTTGGGTACCAATATGTGCTAACTTGTATAAGGTGGTGGATTCAAAGAGGGTACAGTGCAGCTGCACCCTCTTGGATTGGACTGTGCCACAGGAGCCTCCTGGGACTTTTTAAAGTTCATAAAGCAGATGAGAATTCTCTTGCCCTTCCTTTTCTTGCTCAGAGAAGTCTGCTTTGCCCCTCACCGTTCCCCACTGTCCCAGGGATGGAGAAGCACCAGAGCCATTCCTGCCTGTTGGGCAGGCACTGGACTCAACTGAGGATGGAGATAAGGGCAGCAGGGATGGACAGGAGTTCCTCTTCCCTGCACCAGGCAGGGTCTGGGGAACACCAGTCACTCTGCCACTGTCCCCTCCCCACCTGAGCCCAGTTCCATCAGCCCTGATGGCTCTGGAATTTCCCTGCCCCCCAACTGTGGCCAATACACACAGGAGTAGACAAGGGAGTGGAGGGGGGGAGGTATTTTCACCTACTTTAGGACTTTTAAAAACTCCTGAGAGGCTCCCACAAGTGTGGTCTGCCCATGGCAGAGGTGGCTGGGAGCAGGGGTGGCAGCCAACCTTGCAATGTGGGTTGCTGCTCCCATGGTCTCCTTCGGTAAATTCTGGATCCACTGTGGTGGCTTTGTACTGCATTTTAGCCATCACTAATGTACATTTCTCATCCCCCCACTTTTCCCCATCAACATTCTCCTGTTGCTCATCCTCTTCCCCTCCTCCATGTTCAGTTCATTTCCTGACTTGTCTTTAAAAGATGTTGTCAACTGCTTTGTTACCATTTAAACTTTTTTACACTCCATTGTTTGTTTGTAATGCCACCAAAAGTCTCTGAAAATAAACCGTTCTTTGCCTACTGACTTTTTGTCTTCCATTGGTCAAAACATTGAGCCTCTTCCTTTTCTTCACCTTGAATTCCATCTGACTTGCCTCCTGGCCTTGTCAAAGTAGTACATGGCTTGATCTGCTTGCTGCAGCATTAACCCTGTGTGTTGTCTGTCTTTCACTTGGGGTTGTTGGGTTTAGTAAGTGGCCCCAAAAATAAAAATGGAAACAAAAAAGACAACAACATTGATTTTTAATAGGAAATGATTCCACAGAAAATGACCAGATGGCTTCCTCCAAGCACATGTTGATTTGGTTCAAGGTAGGTTACATTTTGGGCCATCTATATGTTCATGCCTTTTTAATTTGCCTTTTTTTGTGCATCCAACTATAGTCATGTCTCTCCTGCCTTGTTCTGTTCCTTGAATGTATGTTGTTTTGAGATTCAACAAGTGTAACAATTCCAAAGCTTACAGCCTCTCATCATCTGCTGCTTTCTAGTGTCCAGCTTCCCCATCCATAAACAGCCATCTGTCCAATAACTGGCCCTATATCTGTAGCAGGATTTTCCTTCCAAGTTTTTTTTTTTGGCCTGTTTGTTGGATAGGCCTTACTCTGTCTGCTTGCTGTATGGCCATCTTCTCTACCTGATTGCTGGCAGCACCCTGTTGAAATCTTGGAAGCATGCTGTATTTAGAAATCATTTTGCTTTACAAAGTGCAAAATATGTTAACACATGGTCACATTTGCTTCCCATTCTTAAGGGGGTTTGGCAGGCTACTTTTCTTGCTATATCCAGCCTGTGTCCACAGTGTCACTAATGAGCCTGGGTCCAACCTGTGTCCTCCTTATTCTGTTGTACCTTATCTATGATGGGATAAATAGAAGAGGAAAAAGCCCAACTAGATTCTGAACTCCTTTTTCATATTTAATAATACCCTCTTCTACTGAAAGCATGCCCAGACAATCTTCATCCAAGGGTGCTGAAGGAATTGGCCAGTGTCATTGCAGAACCACTAGCAAGGTTGTTTGAGCACTCATGGCACTCAGGATGGGTCCCAGAGGACTGGAAAAGGGCCAGTGTGGCCCCTATTTTCAGGAAGGGGAGAAAGGATGATCCAGGTAACTATAGGCCAGTTAGCCTCAACTCTATCCTTGGGAAAACCTTTGAAAAAATTCTTAAAGATCCCATTTGTGGGAGTCCAGTAGGAAATATGCTTTTCTTCGATGTTGTAGGCTCATAGTTGTCTTGAGCCTATCTCTAACGTATGATGGTCGCCTTAGCGTTACCAGTCCTCTATTAGGCATTGGACATGTAAGAGAAACTAAAGAGCAACACAAAACATGCAACTGAGGGCCGTGGAGTTTCTTCCCTCTCTACACAGGGCCCATCTTCCCTCAGAAAAAAAAAAAAGAACTAGCTGCTAAAGATCTGGGCTGGGTTTCCCTCTCCACAGTGCTGGGGCTTCAGTGTCAGCCCCTCTCCCAGCATCCCCTGTCAGGACGGGTCACCCAGGTTGCTGGCCCCTCTTGGGCATGAACAATCAGGAGGTCCTGGGTGCAGGAGCCCGGCTTTAGCCCACATCTTTCCCTTTAAGCCAGCTTGGTGCCAGTTTCTCCTGTCTTCAGCCCTGATGCTGGGACTCAACCCAAACATCCCTGCTGGCAAAACCAGAAGCAAAGAAAAGAAGAAAAAAAAAAAAAGAAACAGGACCTTAGTTGAAGTGTGGCCACTTCCCCTGTGACTGGCTTGTTCTCTGGCATGGTACCCTGCCACTTCACAGCCATGGGTTTGAAGTCAGCATTTCCTGGCT